AGGGCGGATGGGAGGGGGGAAGTGGAAGGACGCTGGCGGGCGACAGAGAATGTGGGGGGCAGGTGGAACTGGGGAGGGGCGTGGACGCCTGTACCTAGAGCCCGGGCGCAGAGTAAGTCCATGTCTTTCCATGTCACTCATCTCAGCTAGTCCATCCTTCGACCTCTTTACAGACAGAGAAACTGAGGCCTAGAGAAGGGCAGAAATCTGCCTCCAGGACGCACAGACAGGTGAGGCGGAGCCCGCGTGTCCACCGCGGGCACCCAGCCCAGAGCCGCGCACTCGCTGAGTTAGAGCTCTCGGCTGGCGGCCTGGCGTGCATCTGTCAGTCTATGCGGCTGCCTTTCCGCTAGGAAAGCTGGACTGAGGAGGGGGCCGCGGGTGTTGCGACGCGGAGCGTGGGCCGAGGGGTCGGCGCCCTCTGGCTAAGGGCGGCGGAAGCCCCAGGTTGTAGATGCCTGAACCACCAGCCTGGCCTGGGGTGGGGACGAGATCGCGGCGTTGGAATACCTGATGCGCCGTCAGGTGGAAGAGGAGGTGGCGGCGGCAAGCTCCTGGCGGCCCCTGGGGTTGGGGGTGGGAGGCAGGAGAGGAGCAGGCACAGCGTGCGTACAGCGTTGACCGCGAAGCACAGAGAGATGTGCGCCCAGCGCTGGGAGTGTATCAGGGAATTTTAGGGGCCCACACAACCTGAGCATCAGCCCCTGGACTCCTGCCGCCCAGGGAAAGCAAAGCTGTGGTGAACCTGGCTCCAAGAGGCACCACTGGTTGTGAACAAGGAGAGCCCCTGGGTGGTCCTGTTCTATTTTAGGGTCCAGGGCCCAGTCTACTCTAGCCTAGAGTGATGAAATTGAGAAATGTCAGATCCACATGAGTTTTTATGAGATCTTATGGAAGCATTCTTTGTTCCTTTTATCTGAAGGGGGGTGACTAATGATGGTACTTTTAGGCTTGGTAGAGTCATATATAAGAGCTCTGACCCTGACTGGCCTGGAACCTCTGATGGCTCCTTATCACCAATACTTTAGCATAGTGATTGATGCCCTTGGAGACTTGGACCTCTATACCATTTACCCACTTCCCCCATTCCCACACTGTGCCTTTGCTCATGCCCTTCTCCCTACCTGGAGTGTCTTTCCTCCTCCTTTGTCCACCTGGAGAACTACTCAGACTTCAATCCCAGCTCAAGTCTCTGGGCAGGAGTCAGAAGACACAAATTCTAGTCCTGGCCTTGCCTTTAACATACTAATCCGTAAACAGAGGGTGTCAGACCGGATAATGTTGCAGATCTTCTCCAACTCTGCCTATCACAAATTCATTCCTTCATTCAGCAAACATTTCCTGAGCACCCATTCCATGCCTGGGGGAGTCAGGGAAGGCTCAGCTGAGACTTGAAGGCTGCAGTGGGCCAGGGGTGCTATGGGAGCCCTGAGGAACTCCCTACTCTAGCCAAATGGGCAGGAGTGGCTTTCCTCAGCAGGGGCATTTGAGTAGGAGTTTGCTGGGGATGGGCAGCAATGGGAGCCCCTTATGCTTGAGTTTCCTCGTCTGCAAAATAGGAAGACCAACTCTTAGTCTTGGGAGTTCTATTGGAGTCTATAAGATGCAGTTGTTTGGGGCCCAGTGTAGAGCAGGTGATCAGAGTCTTTACTGAATTTGAGTGGAGGAGAATGGTGGTGCTGAGGGCTGAGGATCTGCCTCCTGCTTTGGGTCTTCCTTCCCCTTCCTTCTTCTAGTCCAGCCTTAATCCCACACTTCAGCCTTTTAGGGCATTGAGATTTGGTTCCCTGCAGGTGGGAGGCAGGCAGTGGGTCCCAGGTACTTCCTCAGTAACAGTAACTTTGTGTGTATATGTCACACTTGCTAGGTGCCAACATCAGCTGGAGCTGCCCAGGATCCCGAGTTCCTAAGGGTGGCTGGTCAAGCTGAGAGGAAGGGGAGGTGGCACTGGTGTCAACCTACTCTCCAAACCCTGTCTATTCTTACTCATTCTCCCTTGAATCCGGCTTCTTTTTTCTATCCCTGCAGCCCATCACTTCCCTCTCTGCCCAGACTAGGCTTATTATCCCTTGCCTGCACTGTTGCAAAGCCTCTGAGAGCTCCATCAACCTGCCTATGCTAGACTCCTGCTCTTCAGCAGCTCCTGATCTCCCCAAAGATAAGGATCACTCTCCCTAACCTGGCTTTCAAGTCCCTTCTTTTCCTGGACATGTGGCCACTGCCTACTTGCATCACTCCTAGTTCCCAACCTCCACCAGACACTCTAATGAGCTTTGTAGAGGTCTTAACATAGGCCTTTGCACATGCTGACCCCTTTCCCTTTTGCCTGATATTCATCCTCCATTGCTAGAAAAGGCATCACTTCTGGGAAGCCTTCTTGGCATCAGGCAAGGTTAGGCCTCCTCTGGGTTCCTATGGACTGTAGCTTTCCATCATCACACCTCTGATGACACTGGGATTATAAAACTCAATTTACACATAATGTCCAATAGAATGCAATTTACACCTAATATCCAGTAGAAATATAGGATGAGCCACAAATGCAAGCCATATATGTAATGTAAAATTTTCTAGAAGCCACATTTAAAAAAAGTAAAATAAAACAGGTTAAATTAATTTTAATAATTTATTTAACTCAGTAGATTCAATATAATCAATATAAACATAAGTGAGATATTTTATGAGCTATCATTAATATTAATAATGAAATATTTTACATTCTTTTTGTACTAAGTCTTTGAAACCCTATAATTCAGGGTACACTATATTTTACACCCTTAGTTTAGACCAGCCACATTCCAAGTGCTCAGTGCCACATCTGGCCACCTGGCCACTGCATTGGATGGTGCACGTATGAGCTTTTTAAGGGCAGGAGCCCTGCCTGAGTGGTCTGTCTGGGTCCTCAGTGCCCAGCTGTGCTTCGCATTAACCACATTGTGGTTAAGACCTGGGGTGGGAGCTTGGCTTTGCCATTTAACAGCTGTGTTATATTGGCCAATCCTGCTGGGCCTCAGCTCCCTTATCTATAAAATGGTGATGATAACATTTTCAATATGGTTCATATTAATATAAATTAAATATTTTTATAGATACAGTTTACAGATCCTTACAGATACAAAACTGAAGGTGAGAGAGGAAAAATAGCTGGCCCATGTGGAAAGGATCCTTCTTGCCCTTCTGCCTTGATTGAATTTGGGGCCTGGGCCTGTGCCCACACTCCCCCTCCCAGAGTTCTGATTTGTAGTGGGGTCAGACAGACTAATGCTGGTGGCTCCACAGCCTGAAGGCTGTTGAGCTTGCTGGGAGTTTATAATGTGCCATGGTCTATAGACTGGCTGGAGATTTATTGCCCATTTGTTCTGGGGATGGGGACAGCAGGGGTATGGTAGGGTGGGCATAGGGCCAGAGTGCTGCTGACTGATCCCTGGAACCTGGGACTGTGTGTGCCGGACTCCCTGGCTCTCTCTGCCAGGCTGGCGCTGGGGCCCGAGTCTGCTTTGGCCTTTGAGGACCTATGGGGTAAAGCAAGCCTGGCTGGGGCCCCTCTTTGCTCTCCTTACACCTTTCCCTCTGGGGCCTTGTGCACCTCGGGACTCACTGTCTGGTATCAGTGGTTATTGTAGTGGGGTCTGCCACCTCCTTCAGAATGAGAGCGGGGACCTTATCTACCTCACCTGTATCCCTGTGGCCAGCACAGGCCGGGGGCAGATGGGGCCTCACCTTGGGGAACTGGCTGAGCTAAGGAGTGAAGCAAAGTGATATGCGAAATGGTGAGGCTGCCTCAGGGCAGCAGGGATTCGGAGGCGGGTCTGCAAATCTTCTGGGAGGAGGCAGGCCTGGGATTGGATGGAGAAACACAAGCAGGATCCAGACAAGGGAAGGGGAAGAAGCAAGGGGTTTTGGAGTGGGCAGTGGTGTGGTTGAGACATGAACAAGGCCCACGGATGAGATAGTGGTGGGAAGAGCATCCCACTGACTCTCACAGCCTCCCCATTAGGACAGCCCTGTCACCACCCCATGGACGAGTGAGGAAGTTGAGTTTTAGAGGGTAACAACACTTGCTGGAAGTCCCACAGCTGATAAGAGCCGGGGCTGTCTCCAGAGCCTGCATTCTTAACTAGTCTTCAACGTCATTGTCAAGCTCCCAGTTTACCCAACCCTCGGAGGCCCATCATCTCATCAGACCCTTCTAATGACTCTGTGGGTTGTGGTCCCAGTGAAAAGGACTGGATGCTTGCCACGTAGCTGCATTTGTATTTGCTGTAGCAATGATAACAGCGCCTCATCACCTAATAGGCGCCAGGTGCTTTGTGTCTGTTACCTTGCAGACTCCTCAGAAGCTCTGAGTTCAGACTTATTATCTGTAAGATGAGGAAGCTAAGGCTCAGTGGCGTCAGAGCTGCTAAGTGGTGGAGAAGGACTCGCCTGGGGTCTGTGGGACTCCAGAGTCAGTGTATGCGAGCTACCACCTGTCACAAACTTATCACACCCCAGAGATGTTTTCTGAGTGAGCCCCTGAAAAAAGAATTCCACAGACCAGTCCAGAGCCAAGCCAGACCCACAGGCTAAAGAGCGGGGATGCACTCTGCTGGTGCTGGCCCACCATGGCCTGTTGTGGCTGGAGGAGGGACAGGGCCCCCCAACACTGCCTGTGCCAGGGCAGCGAAAGTGCAGCAAAGTCCAGGCCAAACCCTGCATGTCACAGTTATTCCTGAGCCTCAGTCCCCCTTCCGTAAAGTGGGGGTACAGATTCCCTGGGGCCAGTTCTGATGAAAGTTGTGTGAGGTTTTGCAGAGTTGCCTAAAGAAGGGGCTTCACTTTGCCTCCACCCCTCCAGAGGGCAGCCCTGATGGGGTGGGTAGTGAGGGAAAGGCGGCAGTCAGCAGATCAGCTGTGTGCTGAGGACAAAGTCCATAGTGGGCTCAGCCTGGTGCCCGGGAGGACCTCATTATGACTTTTGTGGGCCCTAGTCCTGTGCCTACAGTATCTAACAGGTTAAGTCATTCATGGTGCCAAGGTGAATCTGCCTTGACCCCTCCTGCAGACACCATGGCCCGGAGCAGGGTGCTGCTGCTTCTGCTGATGTTACCACCACAGCTGCAGCTGGGACCAGTGCTTGCAGTGAGGGCCCCTGTGTTCGGCCGAAATGGTGCCCACAGCCTGAGCCCTGAAGAGAACGAATTCATGGAGGAGGAGCCGGTGCTAGTCCTGAGCCCTGAGGAGCCGGGACCTGGCCCGGCCACCATCAACTGCCCCCGAGACTGTGCCTGCTCCCAGGAGGGTGTCGTGGACTGTGGCGGCATTGACCTGCGTGAGTTCCCAGGGGACTTGCCTGAGCACACCAACCACCTGTCCCTGCAGGTGAGGCTGGCGCTGCACCATTGGTCACCAGGGGCTGCCCCCACACTCATGGCTCCTGTTCACAGCTCCCTGCTTGCCCAGATTCCCCAGGCACACAGTGCTAGGATAGGCCAGACACAAGGATCTGACTCTACCACGAGGAGTCCCCACTCTGTTCGGCATCCCAGTCACAGAGGACCATGATATAACCTGCTTTGTTCCTCTGAGAGGAGTCTGGGCTGAGGCCCATAAGTAGAGTCAGTCCCTGTCTGCAAACGGACACAGACTCATCCAGCAGCTAACCCTCTGAACAGACAATAAGGGCACCTCAGATACCATTACAGGCCAGGAAAACCAGGAGCAAAGCACCCCGATATAGTGCTCTGGGGGTTCAGAGGACAGTGTGGACACAGCATTCCAGACTGGGATTCTAGGAATGCTGGTGTGCCCATGGTCACCCTATTGTGGCCTGGTAGCCCTGGGAAAGAGGAAGGGGCTGTTACATTCAGGTCTAGAGGAGATCAGGTCCAGTGAAGGAAAGCAAGCTACCCCACGGTCACACAGCCTGGTGGGTCTGGGCTGGCAGGGGTGGGAGCCTAAGGTCAGTGTAGCCTATGACAGAAAGGGACAAGTTGACGACAACACATTGTTGGTTCATTTGCTCACTCATCCATTCATAAAATGCCTCCTGGGTACTTGCTCTCTACCTTTGATCCTTCATGGTGTGTTGAGCATGTAGGGAGGACTCGGACATGCTTCAGGTGCTCACAGTCTCGGGGAGACTGAGACCTAAACGGGTAGTAGATAACAGATGGAGATAGAAGAACTAGTTGCAAGGCCAGGAACAGCTCCTAATTCAGCTCCCAATCCAACCCAGGAAGGTTTTCAGAGGAGATGGTACCTGATCCAGGATTTAAAGGTTCCAAGGGCTGTGGGGAATGCAGAGCTGAGAAAGGGAACCCAAAGTGGTTTCTGACCTAAGAGTGGAAAGAGCAGGCTGGGGATGCCTGTCACCAAGTGTGATGTGCAGGGAGCAGATCTGAAGGAGATGCCACTCCAAGTTTGAACTGCCTGTGGCTCCCATGTGTGTGGGCTTTTAGAAGGTGGGATCCACACATCTGTTATGGTCACTGCTATGCCTCAAGTAAGTACCCAGATCCAGGCCTGGCCCTGAGCCAGCACCCAGGGTCTGTCTACTACAAGGGAGAATCCCAAAGGAGGTGCCCAACAAAAGGACTGACTCCTGGGACTTGGGCTGAGAATAAGGGCGGGCCCGTCCCCCATGTGCCTCCTCACTGTCCCTGCCTCCCATCCTCCAGAATAATCAGCTGGAGAAGATCTACCCCGAGGAGCTCTCCCGGCTGCATCGGCTGGAGACTCTGAACCTTCAGAACAACCGCCTGACCTCCCGAGGTGAGGGATCACCCAGAGCCAGGGCTGGGGCCACCAGGTAGGGGGTTGGGTGCCCCTGGGCAGAGCTCCACCCTGCAGACCCTGGGATGTGGAAAAGACCAGGTCTGGGCTGGGCTCCCTGTGGTTGCCTAAAAGCTACCCTTGGGTGTCTCTGAGACCTGGGAGTTGGCTGAGGCGAGAGGCTTCAGAGACCTTTGTCATAGACTCTTTAGTTCACAGAAATTCTTTAGAATCAAGGAATTGTAGAGTTCTCAAACTTTAAAAGTTGATTTTTTCTGATGACAAAAATAATTTTGATTATAGAAGAAAATTTGGAAATATAGAAAATAAGATAGAAAACAAAAAAACAGTCATAATTCTGCCACTTGGAGTTCATCACTAATGACATTTGGTATATTTCTTTCCACTTTTTAAAAAGCAGCTTTATTGAGGTATAATTTATATATATATAAGATTTACTCTCTTTAAAGATACAATTCAACAAATTTTAGTAATTTATACAGTTGTACAAGCATCCTCACAATCCAATCCAATCTTTTTTTCTTGTGTTGTTTTGATTCCTAGTTGAAGTTACAGGATAGGTATTGTAAGTGCTTCGTTTCACTCAGCAGTTAGCTTAGCAGCATTTCTCATGTTGCTAAAACTCTGTGGCCATAAAGTTGCACAGCAGCAGCAGGGTATTCCATGGAGGGATGCTGCACAGTTTATGTAACTGTTCTCTCTCATTAGATAACTGGGTGAGTCCCAGCATCTGAAAGTCTGGGAGCCCAGAGCCGAGTGACACAGGCCAGCCTCAGGACTGGAGAAGGGCCAGCCTGGCCTGGCTCCCAGGGACAGGAGAGTCCTAATGCTAGATGGGTCTGGGACGGGTCAGGTGGTGGGGAGGCTCAAAGGCTGTAGCCCTGCCCTGCTATGGGGCCAGGTATGAAGAGAGTCTCTGACCCTCTGGGGCTTCCCCCAGGGGAGCATGCCTTCCTGGCAGGGAAAGGTAAGGCTGGGCCTTCTGTCCCATGGCCTGACCTTACAGGGACCCACTCCCACCCAGGTGGCCCTGGTGAAGGATCAGTCATCCTCAGTGGATGCTTCCTACCTGCTCCTCTGAGCATGGTCTCCTGTGAGCAAGGGGCTGGGCAGGCCTGCTAGGACTGGCTGGGAAGGGAGCAGAGCTACACCTGCCACAGGAAATGCCCTCCCCAGTCCTGGCAAGTGGGGTGGCCTTGGGGGCATTGGTACTGGTGTGCTCCCCTGTAGCGTCTCCTTCATCCAGGGCTCTGACTGATGCCTGTCCTTTGAAGGGCTCCCGGAGGAGGCGTTTGAGCATCTGACCAACCTCAATTACCTGTACCTGGCCAATAACAAGGTGAGGGACTGGCAAGAAGGGTGGTGTGCTGCCCGAGCCCCCTGGTATCAGGGTCTGAGTTCGGGAAACTTCTACCAGGACCTCTTCTGGTCTGGCCACTGGGTCCCTCCCCATTC